TTTTTATTCATTAACAATTCTTTATGCCTTTATATGGACTGGGGAGTTATTAATATTAACATAATATAGGTGCAACACAATTTTTTATACAAATGCAAAACTAGAATATTTAGAAGAGTTCGTTAAAAAATTCAGATTTCAATAAGGATTACGAAAACGCGTCTAAGTTTTTTAAATTATCTCGCTAATTGTCTTCAAGCAAATAGCATTAACGGTGTGCACATATACACACAGACCACAGACACGACACACATAAAAGGTAACTCGCCTTTTGGTAAAATACTCGTTATTGGACGATTCGTTAACTGTGCAGGTGCCGCTGTTGACGTCCTGCGAAACATCCTGCTGTTGCGGCTGTGGCTGTTGCTTGGACCTCCTTCGCAGGAACAATTTTTTGATGAGCATTGTGAAGGAAAGCGGAGCGAGTGTCTCTCGAATATCCCGACGAAATAACGAGCTATGTGTGTGCACATTGGACGAACGTGACAGACGCGAACTACAATACTGGCAGGTAGGTTATTCGGGCTCCTCTGCGGCTGGCAAACGCTCAAACGCCACACCGTAACTGCCACATTATTAACGATAGACAATTATCGGAGTAAAAAACTCGCGGCTACGTCACATTAAACACTTCACGAGTGCGTGTGTTAATAAACGTGCATATATATATATATATACAATGTCATGTATACACAAAAAATGTACAATGTACATATTATACGATCTAGGTATATACATATTTTTATATACATATGAATGTGAATGTGTGTATGTGGAATACCCAATACATTATATATACACTGAACTAGAGAATTCTCAAAGGCAAACAAATGACGACAATGGAACACGTGATCAGCGCAGACGCGCGTGTGTGTAATGCAATTAGCGGCAATGTATACGCGAAATACACATAGGTACGACAGTCCTTTGCATGAATACAAATTATATATAGTTATATATGTCCTATATATACGTATAATTACCGTATATACTTAGATACTTACATAGGTACCAGAAGTATAATAATACAGCTTTATATAGTTTATTTTTATATATATTATACGGTGATTGGAGGTGACATGTGCGGGACACTTTTCACCATAAGTATATAGGTATATTTTAGTTTCACTCGCATGGTTCGACGAAAGTCTATAATAATATGTGCCGTAATATTATTATATCACTATGTACGACATATTATGTCCTATATAATATGTCTATACACATGAACACGTATTATTGGTTTTGCAGTAATGCGTGCTATTCGTGGTTATTACTTATTACGTATTTACTAAGTATTTTATTCATCGTGATTCTTGACCGACTCAATCTCCACTACCATAAAGAAGTACTACCACCTTTACTCGCGCTATAGAATAAAAACAAAGACAAACTACTAGGTACTAAACAATAAAACAACTAAAGTATATATTATGTATATTATTATACACACATAGCTGTGACACGTGGCAATTAAACAAATATTATTATTGGATGTGGTACAAAAATGCATTTTTTAAATCATTATTCTATTTACTGTCGATGAAAGAATTCAAAATTATTGCTAAAATATTAAAATTATTTATATATAGAACCAATACTTGAAACATTTATTAAAATAATGAGGTACCTAAGGCTACATAATAAAAAAAAATGTTTAGCGTGGGCTTATTAGGTATTAAACGTTTTATTAAACAGTATGAATGTATGATACTGATACAGTTTACACTATAATACATATTTGTTATAAATTATAATAAAGTGATAACTGATTAATTACAAATATGCAACTGTCAGCTGATATTATATGTATAACTTTAGTTCACTGTAGGTAGCACTGTAAGTGTATAAATAGGCATATAGAAGCTATTAAAATATTGTTGTTGTTTATTTATATTTTCAAAGAAATACTTATGCATATGTTATGTTATTGGTAATTAATTAGTTTATTCAACTACTCGATGAATAAATAACAATGGAAATTTGTTTATGAATTTATGGCAAATGTATTTAATTATTTTCTATTGATAAAATGGTAGCATTTTTATTATTTTATATACGATAACGGATAATTTATATTAGTATCTAAACCCATATAATTTTTTTATTTATTTTTTTTTTAAAGTCTCATACCTACTAACTAAGTATAGAATAAAAAATTACACAGACATACAACAGTTATTCTCTTTCTAAGATATTAGTTTATTTTATTATCATTTAAATGTAGGGAGCGGTGGCTACTATTTTTATCATGCAGGGAAAAGTTAACTAGAATCCCTTATAAGCTTGATGTTGTCACCGTTCATGCCATGGGTAAATAACATTTTAGAATTTAGCAGGAATCTTCATACTATTTTTTTTATAATTACATTTTGAATACATGGTTACATCATGCGTAATTTGTTCATAGAACACTGAAAGCATTTTTAAATTTTTCTAAAATTTCAAGGATTGCTTCATCACTGATAACTAGTATACATTTGGAATTATTTTTATACTATTGAATATTTTAATTTCTATAGAACCTAACCTCACCTATTGGTTAATACTTAATTGTACAGTAGTACAATAGTACCTCAAGTAGTAAGTACAAGTTTTAATGTTATGTACTATATAATAAATATAAACTATATCATGTATTTTACAAAGTATATAGCAACGTATGTATACATCTCTATAATATAAAACTTATTATTTAGGGCTTAAATTAACAAAATATAAACTGTACAAGACTACGAAATTAACGGTAAGCTTATGAACATAATATTTTTAACATGCATAAATATAACTTTCATAATAAGGCAATATATTATTAACCTTGAAAATTAAAATGCATTTAAAAATGTTCATACCTGTAATAATTTATATTCGAATTTCTAACAATTAATATTATTATATAGGTAACACTATACCAATTTATATACGCACAGTTTAAGTATAAAAGGTATTAAATAAAAGAATTTATTTAAAATCTTAACAGTAATTTTTTGTAATTTTGTACTGATATATTTATTGAAATTGTAAACAAGAAAATCGTGATAAATAGATGAAAATAAATAATAAATAAACTTATTGCGTTATTTATATCAGTAGCCATAAACATGATTAAATCAATAAATCTAAGAGTTATGGCACAGATTACAATATAATATTATGTTACGCAATATTAAGTTTTTGTCTATTATAAAAATATTAATTAATTAAAGTTCAAAGTTACATATTATGCAAATTTCAATACGATTATAATATACAATATAATATCTAAGCTTTAAAATGTGATCAATCGAATAGGGACAATTAACTAATAAATATTATATTAGATTTATGATTTCGACCGGTAAGTATATAATTTAATCATACTCGATTTAATTTGTACTAACAAATTGGTAGAACCTGATACGGAACGTGGACATAATCGTTATTATATATATATATTAATACAATTATACTGCATGGTAGTACTTAAATATAAGTTGCATACACCTATAGTTAGTGAGTAATAATTGTTTTTAATTTTATTATTGATCCATTTTAGTTAATAAGTCCTTAGACTTTGAATACATATACCAGATACCTATGAGTTACAAGATTGTATTAAAATGTCAAGTTAAAGAAGCTCTCGTGTAGATCGAATATTTTTAATGTTCATCAAATACTTTCATAAATAAACGGAAAATATTTCAAATCCTAATGGACAGTTAATTATTATTGTTTGAATAATTGCAACATTATTGATTTTAGTCAGTTTTTGTATATAGTTTTCTTATATACTAGGGAAAATGTATGAGAATCCCAAAAATACTACTTTAAGAAATAACCATATAATCTAGATAAAAAGTTCAATAAATATAATTAGGGGTATGGTGACTATGGTAAATAAGATGTAAAAGCATATGGGTAATAAATTATTAAATTATATAGTCACTATAATGGGGCATGTCCCTTCATCACTTCATCGTATCTTTTTCACTAATGTGTAGAATACAAAAAGCTACCCGGTTTTTTATAAGACTAAAAAATGAATTCAATAGCATTCATTGAAAAGGTTTTAAGGGTGGAGATGAACACCTAACCCCCTCCCCTTTACCCTGCCTATTGGTATAGTACAGGATCATTACGGTAGGCGTACTTAAAACGTTTCGACTGTGAAGTAATACTTATTCTACTAAAAAATACATTATTACGAAACTAATACATGTATCCATCTTCACTCAAATATGAGAGAAAACGGATATAATCAATACCAAAAAAAAAAAACAAGTTAAGCATAGAAGTGGTCTTCTCTCTTCTCTCACCGAATGTCTGTACATACGGTATTGCGTGTAATGCGGACACGCGGCTCATAGAAAAAAGTATGGGTGACATTACTAAGTTAAAATAATGGGCTTAAATAGAAACAAACAAGTAGGTTTAAGTATAAGATTCAAATTTATATTTTACATATTTTTGGGGATCAAATAAAAAAACTTGATCTAAATTATACTTTATTATACTTTTTTTCACTTAATCCCTCAGATAGTTTTGTGTATAATAATATATAGTCTTATTTCTGAAACAAATTTGTGTAAGTGGTATTTGAATTAAATGTGCAGCCAAAATGTCATAGATAGGCAGTTATTATATTAAAAAAATAGTAAGCTCATATAAAACAAACGAATTTATGTATCTAACTTAGGTTTATAATTACTTTTATGTGTATAAAAAATTACGTCATGTCATAATTTTTAATTTATAAGTAATTGACAAACAAATGTTTTTAACAAATGAACAATTTTTTAGATAATATTATACTTTTGCACGACAAATATAATACGTTTGTGGTTTGGAATAAAATTCACGGGCGAGTGTATTCCTACGTTTATAATAAGATGCATCGCTATTATAATAATATAACACCGTATACGGTCAGTTAGGCAGTTCATAAGCTCACTTACTCACAAACTTATGACACATGGTACATAAGAGTAGTTACCTATATGTATACGAAAGTGAAAACTTACCTTTGAGTTAGTTTTTCGCCGGCTTTCGATATCCCTCCGAATCGGTCCATTTCGATGTAGGCGGTTAAATTCGGGGCACTTCCGGCCCGGACGGTGTCCATCGCGATGTCACTCGCACTGCTATGTATATTATATTATTATTATATGGTACTGCGCCGCACAACGGATTTCCGAAGCAAAACACTTGCAGTCGAAGAGGGCGCCAAGCACAAAACACTCGCGGAGTCAAACATATATAATATTATTTAGAAAACGAGACGGTGACGATCTCCTGGGTTAAGACACGCGGCGACGGACGACTACCTGTACGCGACGGACCGAGAACTATATTGTGTAAGTAATATAACTACACGAACGACGCATAAACTGTATAATGTATTATGCGCACCTTCTTCTTCTTCTTCTTCTTCTGCAGTCTATCGGTAGCTGCAGGTGTACGCGAATTTCTACCTGTCGTGTATACACCAATGATAATATTGTTATAGGACTACGCGAACACGTTCACACAATTTAATAATGTATATGCATACGAACGCACGCAGACACACTGGGCCACCTTCACGAGAGCAGAAACCGGTATTGCCGACGTGCGTAGCCACTAGCCAACCCGCGCGCACAAAGACCTTGATGACTAATCTTTGCTCTCCGCACGGTCACTGTATATAGGTACACCGCAGGAATACAACACCTCCCCGCCCATTCACTATCCTCACCGGCAGCGTCGTCGTTTTTTTACCACTCGAAGCAGGTACCTGACATAAAAGATCTTCTCGGTACCGGGTTTCTCACCTTTCCGCCACCACCACCTCCACCACCACCGCTGCCACCACCACCACCACCACCACTATATACAACAACAAGTCACAACCTGCACAGCCCGAGTCGGCAATCGTGGTATTCGGTATATTGTAATAAATGTACCCGTGCAGTTGCTATTGTATGTGCTGCGGTCTGCGGCGTGCACTGCTTTGCCCCGCTCGGTCGATACGATTATATTATTATTATTATTATTATTATTATTATTACTGCTGGGCAGACGCCATAAAACGATGCCGCCGACGCCGGCGAGAGACTTTACACGAACACTATTATCTTGCACCACGACGATGCACTTTTCGTATCGTATACGCGCGCGTACATGCGTCCACCGCGGAGCGCCGACTGTCGCGTATTTAGCATTTGACCGTGATAAAAATATTCGGAGTGCGCGCGGCGGCAGGGACGAGACGCGAAGGTTCTCAGGTTCGCCACCGTGTCTACACGGGGGTGAGGGTCCGCGTCGTTCCGGCCGGCCGGTCGATCGCGTGGCGCCACGCCGCGCCGCCCCGTCGCGCGACACCCTCGAGCCGTCTGCGGTGACGTCACGTCTGGGCGGGGTGCACAGGGGTGTGTGGGAGGTCTCGGCGGGGTGAGTGTGGTTGGGCGAGGGGTAAAAGTTTTTAGGGGTCGCAACTACGTGATCGGCTCTGCGGTCCAACGGTTTCCCCTTCTGCTTTCTAACGCTGCAGCAGGTGAGACGAAACTAGACCCCGACAAACATTTCGCGCCCTATACCACGTACATCGTTATACCTATAAATGTATACCTATTACCTATGCATCATTACCTATATACGGTTTAATGTGTGATAAAACCATTACGTCCATTTTTATGTCGTTAAGTTTTTATAACCACGTTACTATAATAATAAAATAATATTATGTTATACACCTACACACAATTCAACCTATTATAACGCAACATAATATTGCGAACCCGATGAAACACTGAACTTGATTGATTATAATTTATAACGATACACGACTAACCTAATCTGAACCGAGCTACAAAAATGCTATTAGCCGCGGAGATGTGCTTATGTCTCGGATGATGTTTTGAAAACTTATAATGAAATACATAACAATATACTGAACATGGGTACAGCAGTCGTTCTGACTACGTGATAGGTATAATATAGGTTATGCCGGCGATTACACGTCTAAAATTGAACAATAAAAAAGTATTAAACGATGCACATGTATGATGTGACCTGACAAATCTAAAATCGATCATACTTTAAGTCTTAAACAAAACTACAAATTTTAAGATGACCTGCATTTAAAATATATTTTCATTGGTACCTATATATAATATTATTCCTGTAACAAATAATCTTTCCATGGTTATGATAAAAAATTAAGGTTCATAACCGTGATGACTTTTAAGTTAATCAGCTTTTCTAACCACTGTACTAGGTCTATAATAATAATAAATGCACAATCTATAGGTCTATGTACCATCTGTTGAGGCATCATGTATGCAATCATTGTTATGGGCTGTGAAGGGTCAGACCTTTTTTTTAATAGATTAAATGTTATTAAATAAACATTTTTGTTGTAGCTTTAAAATATGATACTTATTGTTATTCTATATTCATAAATAAAAATGGTTTTTTAATCATAACACACTTCATCACATGTTATAATACATAATGAAAATATGTGAATTTGATATGGTAGGTTTAGGTAACTACAATAACTGTAACTTAAGCTGGATTCAAACTATATTATGATAACGACAACCGAGATTGTTGCAATAGTGATAGTCAATATTGTGATGAGTTTATATACGTAAGGACAATCCAAAAATATGATAGTTGCTGTCTCAGTTTCATTAGTGGCGTGCATATACTAAATATGTAACTAAATAGGTTACTTACGTGTTTCATTATTATATATTATATTATTATTATGTAGAGCAGTGGCGGCACGAACTTTTTGAGTCTTTGAAGCAAATTGTACATTTTTAATATTTTTACCACCAACCTAACCTTTATTCGGCTTCATTACATCAAAATGATAATTTACCACGTTAATTATCATATTTGTTATGACAATAATTGTATTGAGGTGTTACAATTATACCACCGGCACCCACCTAAATTAGACATGAAGCAATTGCTTCAAATGATATATATGCCGCCGTCACTGATGTATAGGTATTTATTATATTAACTCAACAATCCATACATACGTAATTTATATACATATAACGGTAGTCTTTGTTTAATTACATGTCTGCATAAACATTTTTAGTTTGACCAAAACTTATTCTTTCATACACTATACACTAATGACCTTTTTTAAATTCTGAGCTGAACGATGAATGTATCGGTTTTACAATCATGTGCGTATGTGTTTTTTTGGGTGTCTGACGTCATCTTTAGCTGCAGTGTAGAAAACACTAAAAATACTATGAACTTAAACTTTGATGGTGGTTACTGCCTAACTAGTACTTTGAAGGTTAAAAAAACCTCAGAAAAATGAATTCAACCTGCAATATTACTAATACCTAGTAAAATTAATTACTTTTTAATAGCAACGATATCATAAAATATACTTTGTGATATAGGCTAACTGACCGCTTTCGCTCAGTATCGTTTTTCGTAAACGATTTTTCATATCATTGAAATATTGAATTCAAATTTAACACATCCATTACAACCCATGATGTGTACCGAAGGGCGGACTGCGTTACACTTATTGACTACTTCACTTTACTTGCCCACCTTTTTTATGTATCCAATTTATAACATGTATAAAAGGGTGGTTCTCAATTAAAGAAAATTGTATATTATTAAATAATAATAACAAATCAGTTAATTACATCGTGTTTGAACTAATCTATGTAATAATTTAAAAATATTTAAATATGTAATTAAGTAACTAGGTAGTTACTTACATCTTTAGTGCATACAAAGATTTAAAATTAAATAAATAAAAAAAAAAACAAAGTGAACTTTTGAGTTGAATTTTATAATTAACATCCTGTAAAATATTGACTGGCTCTACCTATAATAATATTATTGTATGTATATAATTTAATTACATAACAACCTTCGCAATATAACAACTAACCTTGTAATTTATTTAGCCAATTTTAGGTACCTACCCTTTATTGCTAAAAGTTTTCGATTTCTCAAAGTTTACTGTTCTGTATTCACTGTGTATACTGGAGGTCATTTTATAATATTATACTAACATGGCAACATGGTAACATCGCCACATACTTAACCAAATAATTTTAAACTATGAATGTCTTTCATAAATCATAGTATTAAGTAAATATTATTTATATTAAATAATTGAAATAAATAATCACATTTTATCATATAAAATATAAATCTCCTAATAATAATAATAATGTTAAAAAATGTTGTTGTATAATCTTTGTACAATATTGCATACATTGCGGTTTGCCATAGACGCCTACTAAACAAAAAATGTTGGTAGGTATAGATTTATTACAACTTATTTTATGTACTTATTATTATTGTTATTATTATTATAATTATTAACCTATTATACAGAATGCTGAGTTATTATTTAAAGCATTGAACACTGGTCACTAAACATTTATTAGTGCCTACTATCTGTTTTTGATTATGAAATAAAAAAGAAATAGGTTACTTGCCTTGGTTATTTACCTATCGTTTAAACAAAAAACTGGTAATGGTTTTATTTAAAAAACGATGGGTAATTAAGTAATAGGTAAAATTAAAAATTAGCCAGAATAGTATATACAATAAGCAAAATCAAAATGCCCAAAAATCGTTAATTGTTAGAGGAACTTGTATAGGAAGCTTGTAATAAATATATATACTATTTATTTTACGAGCATTATGTACATCATCAGTATCAATATAATATTATAATATGTTTGTATGCTTTAAGCCTACTTGCACACTTTTATATCAAATAATAATGTGTATTCAATTTTAATTATAATTAGTATAGGTATATATAATTATTAATTATTTTTGTGTAGGTATTTATTTTATAGTGATGAAATAGCAAGTGATTACGTATTTTAGAGAGTAAGAGATGTTTCAGGTACATACCAACAGTATCTTCTGTTTTTACGTTTATTTTTAACGCTATTCCCAATTAAACTATGGCTAGGTAAGTGATACTAATAAACTGGAACCAATTTCTTCAAGTTCGAGGGAAGAAATTGATACATTTATCGTGATAATATACTAAGAATTCAGAATTGTATTACGTTCGAATATAGTTTAGCTAAACACGAATGCGTAATATTAATAATTCAACAACGTGTCAACGTCATATAATATAAAACCCAAAGCCTTTCTGATGTTTCTTGTGTAAATATACACAGTTTTTGACTAATTGGCACCACATATTCCTTGGGCTCCCGGACGGTTCGTATAGGCTACTTTTCATGCCGAAATTCAACCCTTAAATGTTGGCTCACACCTGAATTTTGTTTGTGCTCATGTAAATATATTTTTTTTTTGTTTGTATATTATTAGGGTTGCTATTGGTCACAGAAAATAAAATAGCAAAACGGAAAAAGGTAGATGGGTGGATAAATTTTAACCCCGGTGGAGTCTGCAGATAATACAGCTACTGTATAAATGTATAATTTTTTAAAACGATGTTTCACGTACTTACCTCTAGCTACTAGAATATGTTGGTATTATTTGTTATCTAGTTTCAATCTGTACGGTGTACTTACACTATATTTATATATGTACCTATACAATAAACTGAAACAGAAATATTATTCTACGATTTGATAACGGTTTTAATAATTCATAATCCATATTCATAATGTAAATATCAAACACCGACCAACCTCGACAATTACTGCCAAGGTCTAATGCAGCCTAAATTGTGAAATAATAAAAAAAAAACACAGCGGTTATGGTACCTACAGGGCACAGAGGACCCGAGACTGCCTGCCCTAGAGGGTGCTAGTACAAAAACACCGATTCCAGAGCCCCCAGTAGACGTAGGTTAAGTTTTATACTGGTTCTGCTTATGAAATCTTCTCGGGACAACCAGCATCCTCCAGTCTCCACGCTAAACTTCAAGTGCTTCCTTTTCACAAGTTAGTCTGAGACCTCTGCTCGTAGTGGCGTAGTATGTTGATCTAGTACCCTGAGTGAAAAAATCTACCTTGACATTGTTTGTGAACGAAAATGTTTTCGACCGTGACAATGAAAAAATATAATGCAAGGTACACTATACAGGTAGTCTACAATCTATATTACATAATATTAAATAATTATTTTTTATATTTCTAAATATGACAATACATGTCTATAGATATTAGATACATTCTTTATATTAAGCTTCATCTAAATAGCTGACTAACGAGATCACTGATCAGAGAGCAGCATTCTACTTATCTATACTCACTTACTACCTAGATATAAACATAACTGTGATTTTTTATTTCATGCGTTCTATCATTAGTTTTATGAAATTATAAAGTTCATAATATTATAGTAATTAATAGCATACATTATGGTTCAGTTGTAGGTACACTAATATTGTACTACGCGCATAGGCCATCGACCTTACGGCTTGTACTACCACAGAATAATAATTACTATTGTTCTTCTGTGGTACGACTAGACAAAAACCGATTACTGAAGAGCTGTACCTACATGAGAACTCCATTAGGACTTACGAGCGGCATAAAAACTGCAAAGGCGTGGGCTGTCTCGACGACGAAAATACAACAATCTATAAATCTGTATGTCTTACCCTACTACCCCGCACAACCATACATAATGAGCGGACGAGTAAACAAAAAGCGCCCTCTATGTTTTTACTTTACACTCGTTGCTTGTCTATAATAGTAGCACAAAGGTCTATAGACTTATTGAACAGTCAAATAAAAATGAAGAGCGGTACTTGTGGTCGGCGGTTCCTGCTTTATATCAGTAGGAATGCAGGATCAGTTGTAGGTGTAATATTATATTTTAAGGTACCTATAATAATAATAATAATAATATTATCAAACGTATAGTACGTGCTATGATGAAAAAAAATAGTCAATCGTTTTTTGAAGAACGATACACGTCGCACGATCTAGTGTTCCGCGAGTATTCGTAAATAACAATGATTACCTGACCCAGAAATTTGAGATAGGAAATATTTTGATAGGAAACGAGAACGTGCGATGTGCCGATGTCACGTTGGAAAGTAAATAACATGTTTGAACACTAAACATCTAAACATCTCACACTCACTTGTGGAATTCAGCGTCCAAGCCCAAATGTTTTGATACGTTTCGTTATTACTTTCTAAGGTTTATTATTTTATTAAATTGTTTATTTCGTTTAGTAAAAATTAAGGAAAACTAAGCACTAGCGGTTTTTATAAATGTATAATAACCTATCTATACCCATTTAAATAAAAACAACTACATTTCAAATGTGTTTGTTTATTTTTACAGATTATATTATAAGAAAGCAATTGGTATATTTTTCAAAATGGCACTCTCAAAACCTGCTGAATTTTTACAAGGTTTGGTATTGACCTATTTGGAACGCTTGAATTCCAGACCTATCCGCACAAAATCAATTACCAGGTAATTACTTATTAGAAAATACAGGTTATATTTTTATTATTTTTAAAAATGATTTTTTTTAGTTGTATTATTGCATCACTTGGAAACATTACTTTACAAAACATTGCTGGAGCTAAGATGATTGACCAGGACAGTGTTGTGGCTTTTGGATTATTCGGGTAACCAAAAATCAGATTATTATGTACATTTTGAATGTTATTTATTATTAGTGTTAACGTGTAATTTTTATATTGAATAATTACAATACTAATGTAGTGTACTAATGTAGTAAATTTTTTTTTTTGCAGTCTCTTATTTGGTGGGCCAGTACCTCATTTTTTCTACGAGTCTTTAGAAAGCACTTTTCCAGAAAATTCATCAAAAATGGTTTTTTTAAAATTTGGTATTGAACGTTTATTATTTACACCATTTTATCAGTTTCTTTCGTTATATGTGTTGTCAAGATTTGAAGTATGAAATTAATATTTTACACAAGAGCTACTGAATACAATACTATAATAACAATATTAATTATTTTAGGGAAAATCACATGAAGACACAATGAAGCAAATATATGCAATTTACTGGCCCATATTAAAAGCAAATTGGCAGATTGTCTCATTGATACAGTTCTTTAATGTTAAATTTGTACCTCCAATGGTAAACAGTTATTTCATAATTTATTTATTTATTGAGTTTATTTCACTAATTTAGAGTTTTGTTGCAGTTGAGAGTGTTGTTCCACAATATGGTTGGCTTCTTTTGGGCCATGTTTATAACATACAAAAAACGCACAGATGATTTCAGACGAGCCAACATTGTTAAATAACAAAGGATCAAAATCAAGAAATTATTATAAAATGTATCTACCTATATTAATTTCATTATTAATTTATTGACTAGTTTTAATTATCCATTAATTTATCTGAATATTATATAACTATAGATTTATTAATTAAAAACTTGGGAAATGCTCAAATAGGTGGGTGTTAAATAAAAATAAGACTTTAGAGATCAATGGCTTCTGAACTTAGTTTTGTATTACAATATAATATATATATTTTTGTACTTATAGAAAAAGTTATTTAAAAAATGTCTATTAAACGTAAGTTATTGAGAGAAAGTTACGGTGTATTTTATAAATAATTATAATATTATGTTGAACAAAAATGTAATAGTTAAAATAAACAACTTTCCAATTTAGGACTTGATAAGAATCATAATTTAATTTTTTTGCCAAGCTCCAATGCCTATAATAAGCCCGATATCAGATTGAAATATTTTGTTAATTATACAGAAACAATTAAAATGAAAACACTGTCTTTAATAATATAAATATCACAGTAAGCATAAATTACATTACAGACGCCATCAGCACGACGTAAAGACTATAGAGAACAGCACTTATCTCTTAAAAAAACGTTGTGAATCATTATCTATTATTTATTCCATTGATAATTTTATATCCTTTGATAACGATTACCACAGTGTTGATAAGAAAATATTTAAAAAATAACATTGAAAATTGAAATTGGATAGGTATTACTCGACAGTCGAAGCTCGATTTCGGTTCAGAATTCCCGCCGAAGCCCCCAGGATTGAAAATTAAAAAATCGATTTTTAAATAATTACAACTTCTTTAGTATTTGGTAATCGGTTTGCCTTAAATTTATAGTAATTAATTATCAAAGTTGAGTATTATATAATTATGTATTGTTAAGTATCTAACAAAGTATCAAGTAAAATCAATAAAATGATTTTGTTAATAAAGTCACTAGTTTTCATATTGCTCATAGCTAAATCTTTGAGTACTACAGCAGAGGATGGTGTTAAATATGCTAATAAATGTGAAGGTTTGTGAATATAATTAAATGTATTATTATTTGTGATGGATTTTAATTGTAAACATTCAATTGTGTGTATTGTTTTAGTTTGCAAAATATTAGCGGAAGAATTAGAGGGTCGTTTATTGGAGACCGGTAAGACGAGTGAATATTTGGAGCTCGGTTATTCGATCGATCTACCAAAAAAGAAAAAAGAATACAAAAAATCGTGAGTTTCAAATATCATTAATATTTTACGGTTGGTTTCTTTAAAATATATTATTTATATTATGTCATTAAGGGAACTGCGTTTAGTCGAATCACTAGATGGCCTTTGTGAAAGAATACTCAAGTATAATATTCACAAAGAAAGGACCGATAGTACACGATTTGCTAAAGGAATGAGTCAAACTTTTCAAACACTACACGGCCTCGTGTAAGTTAGCTGTTATTAATGTACATTTTGTGCACTACGAACTGAAAATAAATATATTTGTCTGTTGTTAGGAATAAAGGTGTAAAAGTTGAGCTTGGAATACCGTATGAACTTTGGGACAAACCTTCGGTCGAAATTACAAACATGAAAACGCAGGTAGGTAATTATTTAAAATGATAAATGTTTAAAATAATAATGTGTATTTTATTTTAAGTGTGAAGACTTGTTGGAAACCTACGAATCAGATATAGAGCAATGGTATTTTAACGATCAAGCTGAAAGCTTAAGAAGTTATTTATGCAAAGACCGTGCATTAAAAGATTCTGATCAAACATGCTTAGATGAAGCATCTCCATCCAAAGGAGATACGAGACGGATAAATCAAGAATTGTAAAAAATTGATGCACGTTTTGAAGTTTGTACATAAAGTTAATATTTCATAAACATTATCATTGAAATTACGTAAAGAATTTTAAATGCAATAATAGTATAACTATCTGACATCTAAAATCATTTATTTATAATAACGAATTAAGTAAATATGGTAATCAGGTACTTTTTATCTTATTATAGTCTGTAAGTCATTTGAATTCACTTAAACATAGAACAATACATGTAATATTTTATTTTTTATGAGTATATAATAAATTAATGTGTCCCAAGTCTTATTGTAAATTATCACTACTAATTACTATCCTAAAAATTAAGGGCCATTCTAAACAATGTCCGCTTAAGTGTCGTTTAATGCTAACCGGCTGACAGATTTTATTCCTGGCAGAATTCTGCTGGTTAAGTGTCAGTTAACTTTAAATTGGGCATTATAAGAACGGCCCTTAATGTATTTTAAAAATTCTGACTAATGTATCATATTATATTATTGATTAGCAGCTCATTAGCTATTATTACTCATACTGAGTATCAAGTAATCATAATTGTTTTAAACATATATTTTTTGTAATTTTTGTGCCATAAAAATGAAATGTTTGCTATATTTAATAAATTTACAACAAATTTTAAGACTCAACCATTAGTAATAATTTTTTTAAATTTCAATTAAGAATATTTTAATACTGGAAGCTGGGTCAAACTTATGCTAATAGAATTTGTCATAGGCCACATACTTATATTTTTATAATAATACATTTTTTTAAATCATACGATACCGGGTAATGTACTATCGCTATCCGATTGTAAAAAACGATTATACATTTGTTAACTATTAAATCATTTTAAGGTGTAATTTATTTTGAGAATAATATTTTTATCATTACGAGTATAATGTATATAAATTATTGATGGTTTTTGAAATTGATATGGGGGCATATTACAATGTACCACGGGCCGTGGGTTGGACAACCCTGCTCAAGTTGGTCAAATAATTACCATAATTGCCTTTTGAGGCACAAATGCACAATGTATTGTACATTGTTGTTCAACCTTCCTTTTAATTTAAAATTTAAAAATCTTAAAATACTAAAAGTATGTTTAGTTTGTACAAATTGTGCCATGTTGATGGTAGATAATCAACAAAATTTTGTTCTGCCGACCAGACAGCTTTTTCTTCTGTCATAGGACGACTTCTTAATGAGCAATGCAAACCACAAATGGTGGATCATTTTAGACGCCACTAAAAAGTAATCATTTATGTACCTTCTTACATTTTCTTTTTTGTCGACAAATGGTAAATGCAAAAAAAAAAAATATATTCATGTGATATTAAAAATTTCATATTCATATGAATGTAACTTTTGGTATCACTTAATGTTGCAAAGTGAAATATATATATTGTTATTAAAAACTTAACGAGTTTCTTAAAATAATAAATTAGGAATATACATAATATAAAACAGTGTCAAGTATATATGATTTAAATTAACATTTTATTTAATGTTGAGTATACATAAAATTCACGTCAATAATCTAAAAACCACTGTATAAACTATTAAAACATTTTTTTAAATAGAGAAAAAAATAGTTACAATAACACAATTAATTATTCAACAAATGTACCCTAATATATTAATGTATTTCATCATTAGAGTAAGTTGATAAATAATTCATACATTTTCATCTCCACCTTAGGCTGCAGAACAGATTTAAACTTAATTCAATAAGATTTAAAAATAAATACAAATATTTGTTCCATTGGCATGTGGGCATGTCATGAAATATGAATGAAATACAACAATAATAACAGCTTACTTAAAATAGTATCTATAAATAATGTTATCATACAGCGTGTATCAAAATTAAATTTGAACAACAGTTACACGTCATGTTGGTATACGTCTGGTGTGTTGTGTGTATGATTTTGAATCAAGTATGCTGTAAATTCTATTTGACAGTAACATAACTTGTATAAAATAAAATACATTTCTCAAAAACTGGCTTAATGCCTACTCTAAGTAATTAGTAATGATAAAGTTTCAGAAAACATAACTTGTAAGACCTAAGACTTACTAATAAAATCTCAATAAATGTGGGATTTAAAAAATTATTGACTAGAAATGAGTAAAAATAGATTAGTTATAATCTAAAATAAATTTCACAACCTTAAATAGCATATTATTAAAAGTTATTTAACATTGTTTCTAAAAGCATAAATAAATTATTGTGTGTAAAGAGTTGAATTTTATTTTCAGTACTCTTCTAACTATTATATTATTATTTTTAAAATCTATTTAAATTATATGACTACATACATTCAAAACTAGAACAAAATGGTTGATCGATTCATTTTTTATTTGGTCAAAGTTTGATGTGTTCTATTGGACATTTAAAATACTGTTTTGGTGGCGGGTTAAGAATCATTGACTAGTTTCCGCGCATAACTATTGACAAAAATGATATATTAGTATATAGTACTTAGGTAATTACTTAACACTAAAGAGCTAAAATTATGATATGCTTACTGTAAAAATTTACTGTAACCAAGAAGCAGGTGCCCATAATGGTTCGGTTTTTAATTTATGGTCAGCTTCTAATAATTGCTCTAGAGCCGACTTGAAATCATCATTAACTATTATTTCATCAAACCAATGATCATAAAGAAATTCTATTCGTTTTGAACTTCTTAGTATCTCATTGAACTCATCATCCTAAATATGACTTCATGTAGTATGTAAATTTTTTTTTTTCAATGTACACTTACTGTAAAACCTCTAGAATTTGTTTCATCAAATGTTGACATTGCAAATGCTGCATTTCTAGTTGATTTTAATATGTCAAATATTGGTGGCTTAATATATACAATGTAAGGTTTTATATCAGGGGTACGTAACATTTTTAATGCCTTCAACAGATAATCATTATTTCAGGTGGCAAAAAAAACTATTATAATAAAAACACGGATTTTGAATTCTACCTGATAATGCGGATTTATAATACATGTAAGTCCGGAACGTATGATTGATTTAACACTTTCTAAAGATGTGCCATAAAGATTGCCTTTGTATTCACCAAATTCTAAAAATTCACCACGGGCTATTTGTTCTTCCATTAATTCTCTTGACACAAAATTATATTCTTTGCCATTTACTTCTCCAGGCCGAGGAGATCTGGATGTATCTATTAAGTGAAAATAATTAAGTGATAATAATTTTTTTTTTCAATGTTTCGACAATTGTTAATTAAAATATTTCTATTACACCAATAATTCCAACAATAAAAAAGTGTTTTAAAAATATTTAAACATTTGTCTTCTACTCACGTGGTACAGGTGTGTGATATTTGTCAGGATTTAGTTCCATAATACGTCTCTTCAGCTCATTTCTACCAACACCAGGTGGACCAACTAAAACAATGGGCCGGGGAAGCTCATTTCTCGGATACAACTTCACCACTTCTTCATATGTAGCAATATCTTCACGGTCATAGTCATCACTTTCAGCTGCGTCATAGATAACCTTTTTAACACGTGTACGTACCGAACATTCGGACGCCATGTCTTCACCGAGATCGTTCAGAGCGGCCAACGACCCACATAATGGGTCTTTGGCTAATGAACGGTCCGGCAAACATGTCATTCCGCCCCCACCAATACAACCCCCATTAATGGTATCCATGACCCCTGTAATCCGCAAACATAGCCACATGTTAATCACAATACACTACTAAACAAAAAACATGTTAATAAAAAAATAAAATAAAAGAATAATCAAAACACTAAATTAATAAAAATGTATGTTATATTATATTTTATTATTAGAAAGGAAAAAAAATACCCAATAATAAAAATAATAATAATAAAGAAATAGGTACTTTTTACAATATTAAATTGATTAATGATTATTAAAATTAAACTAAACAAACCACTATTTAAATATGTATATAGTATGTACACTTGTGTGTTTGCAGTGCTATTAATGTAAAATATTTAAACCAACTCCATTTTCAATATAAAACTTGTATTAACAAATTGGACATGAGTTTCAAACCATTATAGAATATTATACATAATATACTGTTAAAATATCTAGGTAATTAAGTACTAGGTACTAATAAATGAGTATTAAATTATACAGTGGCATAGAAACATAAACTGCACATGGTACAGTATATATTGTTGTCCCAACAATCAATTTTAAAACTAAGTTTTGGTTTTGTTAAAACCATGTCCAACATATGACTGAAATTACAGATAATAATTTATATCCCAAATTTACATATGGTAGAAACAATCATAGGAATAATAAATTCCTTTTTTTATTGATCAGTAAAATTATAGCATAGTTCATTTTATTAAAAAAACAGTTAATGTGAACAAATTATAATTATTTTGTTTTGATTAGAAATATAAAACACACATTTCTACTTACATTTCTTTTTTTGATCGGTCATAGACAATCTTTCATGAATTATTTTACGTTCTTGCAGAGCTCTACTAGGTATAAGTCCAGCTCTCATATTACGGTCACCTTCTTTCCGGGCTTGCCACCTAGATTTGTAAATGTAATAAACTTATCATAAACTAATAATAATCAACCAAAATTTAATTTAAATTACCAATAAGGATCATCCTGACTAACAATATGAAGCACTTCTCCTTTGGTAAAACTTAGACCGGCTTCTTTGCATGGAATGTAAGGATCAACATCAGTGTTAAAATCAAAATGGGCTCGGACCTTCATTTTACTTTCTCGCGATCCACCTTTTGGGTCTGCCGGAATCAATTTGAATGTTATTGTCCCTTCAGAATGTTGCTATGAGTAAACCAAAACTATTACTTCCCATTTATTTCATTACTTAAATAATATCATAATTTGATTTTATATACTAGTATTTGGAGTACATCTGCTGGCGACTTTCCTTCAACATTAATTCCATTCACTTCACAAACTTCATCACCAACATTTATTAAACCAGATCTGTCAGCAGCACCACCATGCATGACCCTTGCTATAATTATTTTTCCATTTTCTTCATCAGTTTTTATTGTGGCACCCTGCAATTTTCACCAATTGTTGTAATCGTGAACCTTACAATTATTAGCAATCGATTGTCATTTTTATTTTGTCTCTTTTTATTTTCATTGATTAAAAGTATAAAGTAATTTTTATATCTTATCATAAATGAATTACACAGGTAAACTATGATTTATTTTCAAGCTTTACAAATACATGTTCAACACAATTCTCATTTCTACGTATGATTTTTTTTTTGTGATTTCTAAATTTTAACATACATTATTGATTTCTTCAATAACTTTACAAAAGAAACGTCTCTTTCTAACAATATAATTATTATTATGTCATCGGGGAGGGGGGGGGAAATATATTGAGGTATTTGGAGCTATTGGCTTATTGGCAATAGTTTAAAAAACTTTAATATAAATACTGAGTAGTACAAAACACTAGGCCATAAAAAATTAGAACACTAATGTAAAACCATGCTCACTTAATTAATGACACACATTAATTAACTGTTTTATGTCTATAAATAATACAGTACAATGTTATAACACACATTTTAACCATAGAATTGTCTGTACGATTGTATGGCAAAAGGTTAAAAACTAATAATGGTTTCATAACGTTTTAAACAAATGTACACCTGATAAACCTATCACCCTACTTACCACAATTGGTTCAGCTGAATCAGGTTCCCCATCCTTGTGAAATGCAAAACAGTTAATACAAAAAACAACAGATTAACCATTAAGAAGTTATGGTTGTGAATTGTTAAAAAATAAAATGCAAATTGCAAAAAAAAAGAAAAAATGTATTAGGTACGTAAAAATATATACAAAAAAAAAACAAACACAAAAAACAAAACAAAAAGTGGACTAGAATAAAATAAAGACTTTACCATTTTTTAAAATAAAAAGCTACAAGCAAATGCCATAGGTACAACTTGTGGAGAAGATGGTGAATGAACCAAATCCAAAAATTATCTAATTATTAGGAACTAATTTATTGTTGATAACAAATTGTAACTACAGCAATTGCTGCCTGGTAGTGAAGAAACAAGCACTTATATTAATATAAATAAAAATAAACAGTAGTATACACCGCCATAATAAAGGAAACATGATCATGCTTAGGACATTTCACTACATATCAGTACCAATGGTTCAGTGCTTTTAACCAATTGCACAATCTTGATTGTCTCTTCATCCTCATCCATCTCTTGAGGAATGTCTGGCAGTCGGGGTAGATAGTCTTTTTGAGCTACTGCGTCATGGGCACACAGAAGTCCCTAAAGTGTTCATCATAAAGTTATTAATTCAAATACAACGTAGTCAGACTTCTGCACATACCTGTATATGAGGGTTTTGCAATAGTTGAAAAAGTTGTCTGGATGTTTCGCTGAGAGAGATCCTGGGCAATATAACTTCCATGACGTCCAAAGTGGTTTGCATGGAACTCGACAACACGGGAGAGCATCGCCGATCGTCGCGTACTCGGTCAACAATGGTGTTGTAGACTTTGAACAAAGCATGCAGTTCCTTGCTTTGCAATAAGTTGGACAAGAAGTCCAGTTCTTCTTTGGACGCAGATATGGCGTCTCGCGATCCCACCAACGATTCCAGTAGGCCGGCCAGAGCTAAACAAGAAACAAATACAATCACCAGTCAATACATCCGCAGTGTTTGGAAGTTTTGTCAATGTCTTCTTACCGGGATCGAAGACCCCACCAACGTTGTTCTGTTCCATTGCGGGGCTCATGTTTTTTCAACAGTACACCTGCAACAGCGACACACCAGTCAGAAGACGGTCGGTGGCGAATTTTTTATCATCACATCATCTTACTTGTTCGGCGACGTGCATAGCAACAGAAGAAAGTCGGTCCTCGACAGTAATCGTCGACATCACCTAGTCAGAATACGGTCCATAGACACTACGACGATATAAATTGTACGTGTCTAGCGGCGGTTGGGTTCACGGTAATAATTTTCCGCGATAATCGAAAGAAAATTCGGTGAGCACAGCCTCGTCAGTGACCCACTGCAGTCATACAGCTTCGTTTCGACACATATTAAAATATTGTGTATAAGCGTAGTATTTGTCTATTTTTTTCTCTCATTTTATTTTTTCCCGCAGGACTGGCTGGCGCGCGCGATCCGATTCTGGGTCAGCTGAAACCGCCGCAGTGCCGCCAACGCAGGGCGCCTCCCTTCCCCTCCTACTCTTCCGCCGACAGCACAGCCGCTCGCAGGCCTTGTGGGGCTGCTCCCGCCCGCTCGCCCACCTGTCACCGGCGAATCCTCGATTTTAATTATTGTTATTGATTGTTATATTATTATTATTATTATTATTATTTCCATCCGCTGCTGGATGTCGCTGCGTTGGCGTTGGCGTATCCGATTCCGACCGATTTGTCGGAGGAACTACGCGCCAAAATCCCCACCGCTTCGGTTTCGCGCCGATTTCAATACCGTAGTACGGTAAGTTGTAGAAGTCTGTGGTGTTTGAAGTTTGTTTGTTTTTCACGTTTCACAGCTCTTGCAACTCGTCCCATTTTAGCTCCGTGTCTCGGGCACCGCTCATCACAAGCTGATGTGCGCGGTCACCGTAACGAGTATTAACGACATTGGTCGTCGTCTGTCGGGTCGGACCACGCGTCCTCAGACGAGTCAAGACACGGTCGCGGGCGGCGTGTCTGTAACCACGACCGACCCCGCGCGCGGGTTATGAATAGAAGCACCGCCGTCCTACGCGCTCCGTGGCGTCAGGCGTGTCTACGCGACCGCGACGTCTGCGTCGTCGTTTGTTGTCGTCACGTACTCACACCCGCCGACTATTCGTTTTCGGTTTACCGGACGCGAACTCGGCGACATACGTCACCCGGCCGCCGATCTGCGTTATCGCGATGGAAATGCTCCCGAAATAAAGTCGCGCGCATCTGCCGTACTGCAGATCTGATCGCCGATCGGCCCCGTCGTCGCGACATTAATTAAATACGCATTTTATTATGATATAAGGCTCGTAGCGACGTTAATAATATATTATAATGGTCGTAGCGAAGTAAATGATATTATATTTTAATATTATGGCCGTCGTTAAATAAAAATTACACCTTTGAACATGTACATGTTGCAGTTTGTGTGGCGTATAATTTTGATTTTTAGATCATTAGGTTTGTAATTGATAATTATATTTTCATTGGGCATAGACGCCATAGACCGTGGAACTGTCAAATTTCGGATTCGACAGGAACACATTTCGTTCTTATCTTTCACATGAGAGTACATTTTTTATTACTGACTATATTATTAATATAATATCATTAGAGTCGAAACGGACTTAAGGTAGACAATGGCGTAACTTTATGAAAAACTATGGGAGGGAGGAGAATTATTATTTTATCAATCAAAATCAAAACTCATAGTCCCCATCCCATTCTCTAGTTTAAACCATTTTTATTCAATGTTTAGGTACTTAAATGTTTTTATACAAGTTATGGTTTAGGGCCTTTAGGTACGCCCCTTGCCAACACAATCACGCCATTGACTAGAAGTGCAGAATGGTATAGATTAGTGGTAGGTATAGGTGAATAAACAATAGATTAAAATTAAACTAAAGCATTTTGAAAATGTTATTGCGTATTGTAAAATATAGCAATATACGTACAATTCCAAGATCCCATGAATATTTTTGAAAAAACAAATAAAATGAAATATTCAATTATGTCAAAACATTAAAACAAAAAAATTGTGCTTTAGTAGATAGTTTTAACTTTTAATTCTGAGTGGAGAGATTATTGCGCTAAGGAAACTACTTAATGCTCCACATTATATGTCTCCAACCATTCTATAGAATTCTATTGATGTATACATCAAGACCTCAGGATGAATTCTGCCAAAGACGAAGAAAAACTATATTATAAGCGTTTCCACAATAAGTTAACCAACCATCCTAACCCTCTTATAAAAAAATCTAGCAATCCCTTCGATTCCGGGCAATCCCGCTAGACGTCTTAAACGTAACTGGTGTTGTGACCTGCTAATGCTAAATGCATGAATTCTAGAAAATCCCCTTACTAACCTGAAATAAAATAGGTAGTGTCATCAATGGGTGGCTTCTTCCGTCATATTTTTCATGCTTATTACTCTTATCAAATTTTTTTTTATTGTTCTATGAATAGATTGTAAATATCTTGTAAAAAAAAAAAAATAAAAAAAAAGTGGAGAGATAATGTATTAATTGTATGTGATTTTTTTTGTCCAGAGAAACTTTTTATAGAAGAAAAATGCAGTATGTTTTCTGGGAGAAGAGTGAATCTAGATTAAAAGTAAAATATAACCTGGTTTGGGAAAAATAAAAAATAAGGAATAGCGAGAATTTTTAGGTATAACGAGTTTTTGATTAAATTTATTTTCTCGCATAATATAATTTACAAAATATTTTGACTATTTTTGAGATATTTTATGTAGTTTTCAATTTTTTCCATTATTGTCGATAAAAAATGTTTGCATGTAAAAAAAAAGTCGTATTTAATATTCGAGATTGTCTACTCATAATAGTGCCATAGTGGTTACTATTGGAACTAAAAATAAAAAAGTTTAGTTTCATTCCATGATTTTTTTTTCTACCAAAAACAATCAAAATATTTTTAAATTATAACAAGTGTTAAGTGTATAAAATGCTAATACCTAAAATTATTTGATGACAATTTCAAGCATCTAAACGGCAATTCGTTTTTGAATAAAATAAAATCAATTTTAAGTATTCAAATTTAATATATATAAATTATGTTAAAAACTGTTTAAGAGTATACAAATTTCTGTTTTTCCCTATTTTTTTTTTTTTTGTTTACTCAATAATTAAGAGAAGTACCTGAAATTTTAACTCTTGATTGCTCAAAGTACTGGCTAGATTCACTTTCCTATCAGAAAAGATATTGAAGATGGAAGCATTTTTACCGCTCCAAAATAGATGATAACAGGCGCAAAAAAAAACACATAATAGCATCGTAAAATAATAATTTACATCCTTCGCCTTCATTCACAATTTAAACCATTTGCAATAATTTTCACTGTAGAGTTGAAATTTTGAAAATATCTACGGTATTAGAGAATATACCATATATAACCAGTAAGGTATTACCCCGGAAAATGCCGGATCTTGGTAAATTAAAATTACCTATGAAAATAGTTGGGTTTTGTCTCGAGTATAGTATGATATCAAAATCGTGATGAAAATTATGAAAATAATAATAATATATTATGTCATTATGATTGTATTAAAATAATAATAAATGTAGGTATACCGTATTTTGGTAATAACCGTGGCATGGTTTTTTTGGTAACAACGGTAATCATACCGAATCACGGTATATACTGCGGTATTATAAAATAACGAAAATACCATCAGCGGTTACATAATTTGCAGTTTGTTGTTCTATGACTCGGTGCATAATAGATAACGAGAAATTGTGTAACAAGATTAAAATATTATTTTTACCTACACACATTGCTTCAAAGTTTTAACACAAATATAATATGCGAATTTCAAGAAATTGTACCTGAGGTTGAGAAGCACTTTAAGCGGGTTCCTCCGCATACTAAATATTTGTATACCTACCCTATATAATAATGTTTGTGCAAGTTGATTTTGTATGCACTCTGAACTATGATTTTTGCGATAAAATTATATACATTTATTCAAATGTTGGTTTTTGGAGTTTTAAACGTTCGTAAGTACATTTAAATACTTTCTATGTTGTAAGGGGTGCTTTACCCCTCCTGCCGTGTCTACTGTCCTGGATTTGAGTATGCCAATACTAATAAACAAATGCATTCATCGCTCCACACCGCAGATTCTAAAAGTAGGTATGCCTACTAAAATCTTAAAGTCTAACCAAGGATGGCCAAACCGTGGTACATCTAATATTATTGAATGCGACACATTCAATTTGGCACGCAATACTCATTTCAATTTTAGATTCTGAGCTGAGCGATAAATGTATATTATTATTGTTTATTATTGTTGACGGTCGATGGAATATTTAAGAAGGAATCAAGCGCAAATTGTTAGGTTAGGTTAACGGGTTTGCCGCTCTTTTCACTAGGTAGGTATCTACATCCGTGTCCCGGAGCCTATACGTGAGCATAGTCGGTGCATTCACCTATTATACATTTATACGGTAAATTAATAATACCTATTACCTATCAGAATCGATCTATATCTCACTGCGCGGGTTAACCACCCGTTGCTAAAATTCATCCGCACCCACCGCCGGCCAATCCATATCCATCTCGAAACCTATTCTGTAGAGGCTGCTACTTTAGGTACACTTACCCTCCATTTGCCTAAATTCAAAATAAAATATTGAATTTTAATTTTCAAAATATTATACAATATATTTTTTTTATGTAATTTTTTTACTATTTAGATTACGAGTGTATTGCGTTCAATAAATAACCCATTACGGCGTGTATATAATATTAATGATGATAATAACTGCAGTCACCTATATATTTTGAGTGGGAGGGGGTAAATACCAAACCCCATGACCAAATAAAAAAAATTAGAATTTTTGGTTTTTCCGTTAAGCAGAATTAAATATCAAGTAATGTACATTGAAATGTGACTACAATTTAGAATTTGTCCTATATTATAAATAATTATGGTCTATTTAATCAAGTGAAGATTTTTGTCTAAAGTACAAGTAAACCAATACTGATTGTCATAAATGTTATTGACTAGGGTCCGTTTAGAATGCTATAAACAGTCATCTGTCCAGCAAAATGGAATTTAAAAAAAGGAATACACCAATGGCGCCATCTGTACTGTAAAATTAAATTAAATTCTACAGTGTTCAACGTGTGATCATGAAGTCATGAAATTTAGAATATATGTAGTGGCAAGAAGAAAGGATTTTGAAAAACGTGCTCCCATAAGGATTTTGTTTCTACAAACAGAAGTCGAACATTTTTTTTCTCATTTAATGGTTGGAGGTGCTATTGCAGGTATAGATTATAATAGTTTTATATTTTATACCAGTAGAAAAATTGCATAATATATTATATGTATTGGCTATCCTACGATGTCATAATGAAAAAATTATATAGGTACGTGTAATAATATTATTATTTTTGTTTTTCTTGTGGTTTAAAGTCTATATCATGCCAATGGATTCACCCAAAGTTACAAAATGTTTACATTCAAGTGATATAGGTACCTTATGGCTTATTGTATTAAGCGGGCACGGATCCAGAACATATAGATGGGGGGGAGGGGGCAACACAAATTTTTGTAACTATACAAATACAAATATCCATTGTTTATAAATAAAGACATACAGTGTTTATATTTTTATATTTCATAATATTTATATACAATGGTTAAACACATGACTCTCGTAGTTTGGGGGAAGGGGGTTTGGCCCTCTACTGGATCTGTCCCAAATATTAGGTAAATACTACATGCATTATCACTCGAAAAATTTTTAAAAAATCATTATATATATACAAATTATATATGTACAATTAATAATATCATTAAAAAAACCCGATTTATTAGTTTGTAAGTTTTCGCAATGTCTTTAAATTTATAATTTTATTGTTGATACTGAGCAACCAAATATCGGCTATCTGAACCTACCAACCTTTCACAAAGCTTACAAAACAAATAACACCAGAAGTTAAGAATTGTACCAAATGTATATTGGTAGACTCATAATAGTCAAAGAAAATAATTTTAACTATAGAAATGTACCTATATTTACTTAAAATAAATCTTGAACATACAGAAATGTGTCAAGTATGCAAATAGCCTAAAAAATGATACGAAAAATGCAATATCAATTTTTGCAGTTTAAGTTCCTCATGTCTCAAAACAAATGTTTATCTTACTTTGAATATTCTAAGGCAATAGCTATGGTGAATATGCAAATTCAATAAGTCCCGGTCTCCCGGACACTGCTTATAACCATCCGTCGCAGGTGGATTGCAACCCATCTCGATTTTATTTATATCCGGTCAACGCCTGCAGGTTCTACCTACAGTTATAGTATAGTAGTCTATATGGAATCATGTAAAAATGTAAACCTTAAGTTCCGTAGTATGATTACAACTATATATACCTATTTAACATAAATGTTATTGACTATGGTCTGTTTGATATAAATGTGTTCAACTCATAGGAGAAAAACATTTTAATTATACCTATTCCTATTCTATGGTGAGTACCTACCTATATTATAACATGCGTCGCGCGTGTCTTTTATTAACGTGGACGTATTTTCTTTTTGTTTATGTGAAAAATATTATTTTTAATTATAGTTTGACTACACTCTTGTCTGTTTTCGTTGATATTGAACTTGAATAATATTGAACATATAACACTGACATACTGAAAAATGTAGTATTGTTTGATTATACATTAGCGCAATATAGGATATTAATCACTAAATATTAGTAGGTATTGTAAAAAATGATGTCTTATATATTTTATACTTGATACAGCTCCATTGTCTGCGTTATCTCCTCATCCGTGCACACTGGTACTCTGACCAACGTTACTGAACACTCGTACCGATAGGATAGAGATCTACAAAGAATCTTTATGAACAAACGTAAATTAGGCCCAACGAGGTGAAAAAATTGTAAATAGCTCTAGGTATTTTTCAGGTACAAATTTCTATGTAGTGAATTCCACCCAATAGTAATATTTCTAGATATCGGTGTCGACGAGTCAAGGTTACTTAGATAGTACTTATACATAGGTGCAATTTACTATACTCATTTTAGTAACCAAAAAATCCTAGGCTCAATTTACATTGGTATTTTTGTTACCCGGCCAATGTGGGTGCAATTTACAAACGCTCATCTTTATAGATCTTGGGGTCGTATGGCGACCTGCAGGGTGCCCGCATGTTCGATTTGTTGTGGGAGAATGACGCGGTACGCATCGAGCAAGTATCAAGTAATAAGCGCTATAGCGACCCATCTTTACTTTCCTCAACCGAACACACTGCCACTCTGGCAAGTCTAAGTGGGACCAAATCAAAATCTCATAAGATCGCGGTGGCTCATCGTTACGTGAGTCGCGAGTTCTAATCAAACTTTGAGTGCTGTGGCCGATCTTGGGAGAGATATCGAGAATTAAATGAAAAAAAAATACGGGATTTACGGGATTTGAACCCTCGACTCACTCGCAGATTACCTTATACGCAACGATGAGCCACCGCGATCTTATCATAATATAATTATTTTCGGTATTCCCCACTTAGGCCGGAGTGGCAGTGTGTTTGGTTGAGGGTTAGGTTAGGTACGCCGTGTAGACGGGTCGCTATTGCGCTTGTGCTTGATACTTGCTTGATGCTTACTAGTTACTGCGTTATACCTCATACCGTATACCTATACAATTATAACTTATACCGGTTATACCATCTTATAAAGTTATAATGACTATAGTTAGTAATAATTGTGTATATATAAGTAAATTGTATTGTTCAATTTGTCGATAATCGTATAACGCATTCGATGATTCATTGAACGTTAGTGCAAATTTTTTAGCTGGTTTGAATTCTAGACGACCCAATTGTCGCCCAGTGAATAAAAAAATTGTTGTGTGAAGGCGCATAATATATATGATGTTAACCTTAGACGGGAAATCGGAAACACACTGTATAATATGTAATAATAAATAAAATACTATATAATAGAAGAAATGTGCAATTTGTGAGTGGAAGCCGGAAGTAGAGTGTGAAATTATTTAGATTACTTTTAAAATGCTGTTGCCTGTTTTACATTTAGTTAAGTATGTCAAGACAAGAATGGAAACGTACAAGGTAACTTTCCGACGGGTTTGTCCCACAAAACAAGCAACTTCAAACATTTTATCCATTGACACAAATAAACAATCGCGGAAATCTACGATCGTGAGTACATGTACCTATAGCCTATTAAAAAAATGTAACGAACTAACTGTATTATTATAGTCACAATATACTATATACTAATTTGTTATTACTTATAAATTAAAATGGAAAAAAAAAATTTAAATCATTAATTTTTTATTATTAATAAAATAATAACCACGCATATGTTATACAATATACAACATAATATTATATATTAATTTCAAATTTAACTGTTTAATTTTTATAAAATTAGATTGCATTGCAATGAATTTAAATTCTTCGATTATTTCCATGTTTAGTGTATTTACAACATGTAAAAATTAAAATATTAAATTACAGTTATATTGTATTTATACAATTATTAGAAATATAAATTTACTATCAAGAGACTTTATAAAAATAATAATAAAAAAATGCGGTGAGTCATGGTCGGAACATCTAAGTTTATTGGTCAGGACTTAAGTCTAATCATACTTATAGTTAAAACTTTAAATAATACAATTTTATAAAAATTGTGACGTACATATGTTGTTTACTAGACAATTTCATTTTTAATACATTTATATAAACTCATTTATGTATAACTGAATTAAACATTATAATTTCATGAACATGGTTTACATAAAAAATATATTTTACACTGATTTACAATATGATATGTTTAAGTGACGATTATTATGATTATATTTGTTTTACATCAATGATATATCAAAATAGATCTAAATAAATATAAAAATAATTACAGACAAAATGTAACGAAAGATAGTAATAGTAGCACAATGTAAGTAACATTTCAGTCAACCCCGTACGAAAGGCAAACTTATTTCAGGTACCGAGTAAAAAATACAAAAAGTTAGTTTGTTTGCCTAACTGAAACGTAGTAGGGGTTGTTCTTGAAACTACCATTTCGAACTACCAAGGGAAGAAAAGTACTTATATTTAATTATATACAGTAGATTTATTAATATAATAAATCATGGTTATTTAGCAACTAGGTTTTGGAAACAATGGTTTCGGCCTGTTGATGGTAATGTCGGTCGAGGTCTTCATTTTAGTTCCTGAAACATTTATAATCGTAATATATTAGACAATGAAAAATAACTGATAGTTTAGTTTTTTTAGAATGGTTATTACCACAATAATAATTTTTTTTAAGGTATAAGAAATTATATATTGTATGGGAATGGTGAAATAGTTGTTATTCACTAAAGGTTTACAATATTTTAAATTAACAAATTGACTCATTGCTTGGCTTAAAATGTTTATAGAAACTAACGAAACAAGTGTAAAGTTTCTATGAGTTCTCTGTATACTCGTATTTTGGAGTATGAAAATTAATTTTTTATTGAAATCAATACTATAAATTGGTTATGTTAGGCGATTAATAAGGTTTTGATTGAAACGATTAATATTCAATAGCAAAAATATTAAATATGCATACAAAATCAATATTAAACATGAAAAACTATTATTATAAAATTATTTTTTATTTTTATTAAACAGAATTCAGTTAAGTCAAAAGCATATTGATTAGGAATCAATTTACACGGAATAATTTAGTGTGTACAAAAAATACTAATATGATTAATAAATAATAATTTATAAAAATGATGATATTTCATCTGCAAAAAAAAAAAGAAAAATCTAAAAATAGTAACGACTAACAAATACATTTCCTAAATTTCCGTTTAAATTAATTTTAATTCTTCCCAAGAAGCGCCTATAGTGTGATATCATAGAAAATATTAATTGACCAAAGCATAACTCGCATATTCCCAATAAAAATAACATAACACTAAAACGCATTCAATGTGGTTATTGTGTTTTTTTAAATAAAAAATCGTCAACAAATTTTGGCTTACCGGTATAGTGGAAATCCGCGTGTTACACGAGCAAGTCGATTTGATTTTGATAAGCGTTATCCCTTCAGTTTTGTACAGCCGTTATAGGTCTAGGCCGGCTGTTTGAACCGTCTAATCCAGGTTGACAGCTTCGGTGGCTCTCCGTTCTAAAAATCAAATAATAACACTATGTCAATATCACGAAAACGAAAAACGACCGAGAATAATTTTTATCTATTTGACATAATATATATAAATGAACTCCTGCACCGCTAGACTTACAGTCTGTACAATATTAATATACCTAATTAAAATATAATAAAACGACATAACCCGCTACACCATATTATATAGGAATTTTATAGGTACACATATGATGTGCCAATGGCTGATTGCAATTAAATTAAACGGAGATTAAATATTGTAGTAAAAGTTGAAACGGACAAAAAGTCGTCCGTCGACGAGCATTATGTTATGCATATCGTATATTCTATAAATCAGATGCGATCATTTATCGAGTAATGAGCGATAACTATTTTATAATCGCTAACCTACACGCTAAATACCAATATTTACGTGTACAAATGGACATAAAATTAAAATATTAATCGTGGGCAATGCGCTTGTTGTACATTGTATAGGTACGCGGACACGTCTTTAATTCTAAAATTTATTTCCGGAGAACATTTACGGTCGTTATTATACGTTAGAGGTATATTATAAAGTGATTAATGATAAATGAATATTATATATATATATGTGTTAATAAGGATTGTTACCGATCGATTTTAGAGCACAACGACACGCTATTTCCTATACTGCTGCACATCGTGTATAGAATATTATGGAAATATAATATAAATATTGTAAAAATTATGTGATGAGCGTCTCGTCGATTTATATTGGCGACGAAAGAGCGCAGAAAAAATATTTTGAGAAAAATTGTTTGAAAAATAAAATTGAATCCCGGAACGTTTGATGGCCGGAACACGTGTGCGCCGACGGGTAGGTGTAGTTGAACTGAACTCGCACTCACCGCGGAGTCATCATCATCACCGTTGTCGTCGTCCTCGCCGTCGTCGTCGTAGCCGTCACCGCCGTCACCGCCGCCGCCGCCTCCACCAACGCCGCCGCCGCCGCCGTTTTTATCTTTCTTCGCGCGCGCGTCTGCCGCGAGATAAATGAGATCAGTCGGCCGGTCCGAATAAAATATAGTGCGGCGTACCTATATAATATGTATTACCGCGGGCACTCTCTACAGAGCACGTCGTTATAAAATACGCGTTTTCGTGTGTGTGTTTTGAGATCACGTGCGCGATATATTGTATACAGAGTGATTCGCGCACCTGCGATAGCCGGCTGCTCACCTGCTCATTCGTAGGCGTAACTATAGGCCTTTGAGTAAGGGATGGTGGCCGGGGGGGGGGAGGGGTTAGGTTAGGGTTCCGCTGCCGGAGTGCCGACATTTTCTCGATCGAAAAAATTGGGCATACGGGTGATAGCTAATATAGTCTACGTCCTCGCTCACCACATGTCTCAACTGCACTATATAGCTACGTATTTTTTGAGTGAGTTTAATTACATCATATTATTATTACTAAACAAAGTAAGTAATTAGTGTTTTTGAAATTGTACATAGGAAAAACATCCACATTTTACCCGAAACAATGTTGAGTGGGCTTCAAACAATTTTTTTTTGGGGGGGGGGCCCCGATGCCTCCTCCAAAATGACCCCTAAGATCATCGTTCCCTTTTCATCCTTGAATTGATTCAGTTATTCGAATCCCGATTTTTGAAATTGTCTAGTACCAAGTGTAGTGTCGCGAATACCATATTTTCAGATAAATATACTTGGAATTTGTATACAGTTTGAAAAATGCGTCACGTAACGACACGAACTTTTTTTGATAAGAACGAGAAACGGCTTTTACAATGTTACTGTACATTTTTCATGTTAGAGTACCTACGACAAATGATTTTTATGAAAATTTTGATGCATTCAAATCGAAATTGAAACGATCCTCAACTAGTAGTTTTCTTGGTTATTAAACTTCTTACGATATTATTAATAACCCTTAACAATGATTTTCCATCAATTATTAAATAGTTGTCACACGCTTAGTCAAATTATAGAAGGCTAAAATAATATAAGTAATACCTACTAATAATGTTCATCATAGTATCCATGTATTGAAATCCATGCGATTATTATCCTTAGTAGATCCTACAGTTTAATGATTCAGAAACAATGATAATTCAAATTTTTATTTAGATAAAAGTACATCAATATTTTCAAGCCTGTAATCTATTTAACAATTTTCAATAAAAATGGTGCGGTTCTCATTTGAAAAAATAAGTTTGTAGAGCCACTGCAGAAAGCTCCTTAAATGGCATAGAAAAATCCAAGTAATTGAAGTATATGTATTGTCTTTTGGTATACTTCAAAATTCCGAAATCTATAAATTTTGAATAAATTCATTATTTATGGATAAATTGGGGGTAAGCATGCCTGCAGAATCACCCTGTATACATGTATATATGTTAACTGTTCGCGGCACGGTATCCGACGAAAGAGAACACCTAACGGGCGGCCTTGACCCCTAAACTCGACCGCGCACAGATGATAACACATATATCGCCTATTGCTATATAATAATAATAATAATAATAATAATAGTAATAATGTGCGCGCGTTTGAAAAGTATTTCTTTTTTTCTTCTTACTTCTCCTCTTCCTCCTCGTTCTCTACCCGTTTTTTCCAGTTCCTCCGTCCCGAAGTCCCCCACCGTTATTTTTTCCTATTCTCTTCCATCATCACGCCTTTTCTCGCGCGCGGTTCCGCCTTTTTCTCTTTGTGGCGGATTTTTTCCCCTCCCCCCCCATGATTTTCTCTTCTTTTCGTCTTTTCGTTTCTCTTCTCCAGCTCTCTCACACACACACACACACACACACACACACACGCACACACATATTATATTGAAATATTCTCTTTTTTCGTCTCCGGAGAAAGGCGTACACAATATATGTGTACCTATATATAATAGGTATACGAAACGGTAGCCGTCGTCGCCGCGCGGGGTATCAAAAAAAATTACAGTAATATCCACAAATTTTACGTCACAGGACCGTTATAATACGGTTTCGGACCCATTTCAAACCTGTCCCGTTAGGTACACGCCGCACTCGGCTACTGGTTATGAAAAACGTAAAACGCCGAAAATGTATCAGTTTTAGGGGATTTTTCGGATCGTCGTGTTTACAGTTATAACTTATAGTACTTTCTCCCCGGAACTCCAATGACCTGTTCCGTTAGTTTCAGATAAAAAAGAAAATGATACATTAACACAGATATGAAGGTACCTACCTATATTGCCGGTACGCGTATTATATGCATATACTGCAGACGTCGAACGCTAACCTGCTTTGTACGCGTCGCATTGTGTCGTCCCGGACCATTATTGTTGAGTAGGTTCGATGCCTGTGCGTGGATACCGAAGAATAGAAATAAAAGAAATAGGAGCCAAACGGTAGGCGATTGGGATGATTTATAATCTTTGTAGACAACAAAAATTGTGCCTAAATCGACACGCCGGAGGGATCCGTACCTAATATTATTATCATGATTATTATCCAGCGATATCGCTATTATGGAGAGTATGCACATTGCGTATCATTAAATCGTTAAGGGGTATCCGACCGTTTACCGCTTTTATTATTAGGTAGGTAGTACACGTACACTTCAGCGTGATAAATGTGCACTGATATATGCAACACTATGATATAAGTGCATAATACTATTGTATGGCTATTACAACAATATTATATAGTGCACCAACAGAATAATTAAAACGTATAATTGTGTTTACACGTTGAAATGTGTAAACGAAACTAGTCGGGTGTTTACGTAGTACCTATATAATATTGTAATGTATACATAGACGCGTTGTTATTGAGAGCACCATTCACGTTTATCGTGAAACGTAGTTGAGTGCAAAAACAATATTCGACGATTTAATATCGAAAAACGTGTAGGAAATTGACATCTTATCAAAAATGCCTATAGTTGTTTCTCGAGGTCGAATGAAAACTAATAAGTTTTTAATAATTTAACAAATATCTGCAAGACCTCACTATAGTATATGTGTAAAATATAACCATCGATTTCGTCATATCATGTATCACGAAATCATAACACATTTATACCTAATACGCATGTTATACAATTCACAGATACATTATTAGAAGTTATAACTAATTACATTACTATGCGAGTGTAATACATAATATTATAATATCCGTTGACGATATCAAACATTTTTTTTCCATTTAATCATGCAGAACAATGTATTATAGTTTACAATTTTACTAATACACGTGTGTGTTACAGACTCCACGTGTACTGGAGTGTATACCAATAACAGTGGAGCGTGTACCTAACTATCTGCGGGGAGAATAACGGTGAAATGTTCGTAAGAAAACTACGTTATACTAGACACGAAATTCGATTATTCGAATGGAAACCGAAGACTTTCTTTATTGTCGGTAACGTATTGGATGAGAAAAAAAAAAAGAACATCTCCGAACTCTCTCTGATAATTGAATATAATAAAATGTAACTCGTTTCAATAATGTGCTCGCAACTGAAGGATACATGTTTTAATGCATACTTTAAAAGAACACAATAAAGATATAAATAAACCACCTCAACAGGACGACGCACGCAAAATTCGTCATCATTGTCTACGTCTCTCTATAATATCTCGTTCTTCGCGCGACTCGATAAAATCATATTCGTCGTACCTGCATATTATTATATTATATATATATATATATATATATAAATGTGAGTATACAGTGTGATTCTGTTCATCCCCATTTTGCATTTAATAATGCGTTTTTCAAATTCTCGGTTTTTACTACTTATATGGGGAATGTCTTGAACCCCCATTTTTTACTGTAAATTGTTTAGTGGATAACTGTGAAATTTTTCGATAATTTTGATACACCTAATCGAAAATTCAAACGAGTAGTCCCTAAGTTATTAAAATATTTACACCTACTAAGGATAACTGTCCTTAAAATTGATATTAATCACTAAAATGTCAGTCATCATAGTCCTTTATTATTCCAAACCTATTATTATGGACTTATTATAGGTATACCTATATATAAAGTTAAATAACTAAACAAGTACTCATTCGAATTTTGATTCCGATACGACATAATTTTATGAAAAATTATCTGCTAAATCATTTACAATAGAAAAGGAATCGTTACAAAACACTCATTAAGTAGTACTAAAGATATGGTCTTTAAATGCACATTTAAATATTCCAAAAATCAGAATTTGAATAATTTGATTATTAAAGGAAAAACTGGGGGGGGGGGATCATTCTTGTTGAATCACCCTGTATAATATGTCCCATGTAGTATGCACGTCTTATACTACGCGTAATTTATGATATTTATTATATATAGGCGATGGGCTTCTCTACATAATAACAGGCACTGCAGCAGAGGATTAATAACAATTAAAACGTATATAATATAAATATATAAGTAATATATATATACATATTACATATATATAATAAATCTATTAGGTTAACGATCTCCTACAAAAATTAGAGAAGAGAAAATTTCTATTAACCTTGTGATTATTTATTTGTCAGCATATTTATATAGTTTAACACCATATAAGTATCTAATACTTTGGTGGAAAATAGTTTTTTTTCTTTTATATACATAGGTTTAATTACCTGATATTGTATATACTTACAACTCTCTCTCTATATATATATATATTTATACATAAACACATAATATATATATCCGTCTCTATCTCTCTCTCTCTCTTTCTCTCTCTCTCTCCCTCGAAAACGGAGAATAAAATTACGAAGGTACAACGTGGCGTGCGCTCTTCTCTAAGTTTCAAAAAATAGGACAGGTCAATACACTCCTATATAATATTATGTTATTATTAATTTAACATTTTCGGTGTGAAGGAATATCATTATATACGATCGCCCG